AATATAACAATTGAAATAATTAAAAAGCTATTTTGTAAAAATAAAAATAAAAATATCTTTTAGTTTGCAAATGTAATAATATATATATATATATATATATATATACACACCATACTGTATGTATAATAGACAAAAATCAATGTTTGGTTCAAGATCTTTTGATAGGGTCATCGTATTAGATGTTACGCGATCCCAACTGTTGTTTTAGAAATAATTATAATTATAATTAAATAATTTTTTTATAATAATCTAGTTTATTGAAAGTAAATACTGATTGGATGGTAAAGGAACTTGATGTCAACAATTTATTAATACCAGTGTTTATGCTAATTAACTTTACGTCAAATAAAAGAAATGATTTAAAGAAAAGATAAACAATAAACTCTGCCAATACAACATTCAAATCAACATGAAAAATACATTTGTGAACTATAATATACAATCATAGGTAATTTAAAAAGAAATTAATTGGAACTGGTAAATACTTTTTTAGAGAGATAATTATTCGCTTTTTGAAAATTCAACCCGTTGTAAATAACACCATAATAGTATATTTTCTGTTCTTTGCAGAGATAATAGGAGAAGAACAAATATAGGTATAAGCAGCTAGTGAAAAATCTCCATTGTTCAAACCTAACTTTTTGTTTTCGTTGGGTTGAAAATTGATTTATTTGTAAACACGCACGTGATAAACGTCCTTTGCGCAATAAAATCCTTTCCTAAGCGAACAGAGAACTGTTTGATTTGTTTTTTAGTATTTGGTAAGTGTGATAAAGATCACTATTGAAATTGTATGGAATGAATTAGACTATTAAAAATATTCTTTTTAATAATTCGTAACGATTTTTGGAAAATTTCTGTGATGATAATGATCACCATTACCATTTAAAATAAATAACAAGCTCGCTTACAACTGAAACGCAATGCGATCTTTTGCTTTTTTATGCTGTATACAACCACTTTGTCGTACTAGGCGAGAAAAATTTATTTATTTTATTTTAACATCACGTCGACATCAAAGTTAAATCCAAGGAATTTATCATCAACAGCACAAAAAAAAAAATAGAAAGAATGTTTGTTTATTGGTCCTTTTCTTTTGATGTCAAAATTAAAGTGCAGTCAATCCCCACTAAGTGCACCCCCTTGGGAATGAGTGATAGCGTGCACTTAGAGAAACAAAGCATTTCATTGGTTGCACGTGACACCAATACAAGAATAAAATTTTTTTGCAAAACGGATCATTAGATCAGAATTAGGTAGCAGTAGGATAATCCAAGCTGAAGACTGAATAAATTCCAGGGTTGTTCTCCATATTACAACTAATAATGCTTTGTAGCAGAGTATAATAATTATTTATGATTTGATTTCTAAATTTCCGATATATACTACTTCGAAATGCCACAACTTAATATTTTTAATTTGCCGGAATTGTTAGAATTGATTCTTCCAGATTCTTTTATTACTGAATTTAATAATTATCTTAGCTTCGTAGTAGAGAATAAGTAATTAATTCCGATTTGATTTTTTTCTTGCTCAAAGATATAGTGCATAATAATATAACCAAAATGTTGTTTGTAAATTGCGCAGCCGAAGAAAAATCTCCTATTGAAACATTAATTGATACAGGCGCTAACGCAGATTTAATTACCCAAAAATTTATTAACGAGTCGGGTTTAGTACATCATGTAAAATGAAACCAATTGCCTCGAATTACAAACTCCTGATGGAACATTTTCTGTATTAGGAAAGGTTGAACTGCAAACTAGTTTTAGCAGAGCTAGTTCTACTAATGTTGGTGGGAAGCATAAAAGTACCGATCCCGTTGAATTCTTGGTTGTTGAACCAGATTGGCCTGGGCCTGATTTAATGTTAGGAAACCCATGGTTGCAAAAAAATGGCGCAATAATTAATATGTGTAATAACAAACTTTCTATACATGATAATTTTGCAATCCCAATTTTCCAAAGCGGATAATATTGACATTCTACTAAAAAAATCTATAATACAATTGCCAAATAACACTACGTAGAATACAGAGTGTCTTAATCTAATTTTGTGTATTATTAAGTGATCATTAGATCTTCTCTGTTTACGAATAAATAAGAGATATCTATTGTTGTTGTATAAAAACGATCAAGCTTATTTTTTGACATCTAATGAGGCCTGTGCGTTGTATGAGATGTGCCAAAGTTTTTGATTTTACCTATCAGCATGAATCCACAAATAATTAGGATCGGTAAAGGTGACGGATCGTCCATAGTAGATAAATTTTTGATGAGCTAGTATGTAATTCTGAAAAAACCAATGGTTCTTGATAACTTTAATGGCATACCCTTGACAAATGATCATCCTCTGAAGAATCTCTGAAATGTGTATAAAAACAGCTCAAATGAGATTATTTCTTCTACTTATAACACTCGAATAAATCAATAAAATGTCATAAATTAATCAAAACATAAATTATATTAAAGATATCATTCTTACATTCGTCAAAATCAAAGGTATGTTAGGATACTTGTATCTCACGTATTATAAACGAACTTCCAGGCTGACGACTGATATTATTTTTAGATGTCACCAACTGAATCTTCGAAGCTCTCTCAAAAATGCCATCAGAAAGTTATTTTATTTCAATTCCTATCTTGATTCTCATCGTGACATTGATATTTGGAGAAAAACTATTTATATACCTATTCATTGTCATCATATGCTTCGTTTCAAACAACAAATCGATATGGAACTCAAATTATTAAAAGAGAAATGAAAAAACGAATCTAATGAAATTTATAATAAAATAGATGAACTTGCTGAAAAGATTTCATCGTTCTATGATGTGTTCCAACAAAGATCCTACGAAGAAGATACCTTAATTAATAATTCAAATAATCTTTCGAGCAATAATTCAAGCAATTTTTCAAGCATTTCTCGAGGTAAGATTATTTCAACGTATAAATATGTCTGCTACTTTGATGAGAGACCATAGTAAATTAAATATTTCGTATCATATTAGCTTCAAGACGCACTTCGTTTTCAGATCCAGTCGTTCGGAAATTTAAAACCCTTTTCGATGAAACTATGCGGAAAAACGATTATTCCAAAGCAGATATGATTGATGAAGTTGTAAACGATCTTCGAAAGGAGAAAAGATCAAGTTTATTTCGAACAATGCGGTAGAAAATTATTATAATCAAACAACGAAATCCGACACCAGGACTGTAGGAGCAATCAAATCTTGGATAGAATTCAAAAGTAAAGGAAAAAAAAAATCCACATTTAACGATAATAATAATATTAATGAAGACGATGATAGTGGTGATGGGGAAATGAATTATAACAACAATAATAAATAGTTTTTTTACCCAGTAGATCCAAAGTAAAGGGGCGTAAATTAAATGGTCTAGGGGCCGTACGTTCTCTCCCTTGCAACTCTACCGTAAGAAATTATTATCTTATATTTTGCTTAAATCATTAAATAAAAATAAAATCATCGAATTCTTATTTTTAAAAACCATGTTGTATGGTTGGCTCGGTCTAAAGACCTCCTATTGCTACGCCATGCGACCAAATTTCAAAATAGCAATTTTGTAATTCGCTCAAAAATGTAATAAAGTTTTTCAAAAAATAGGACTCCACGTGATTTTAGTTTTCTTACTGATACGATAGTCAAGAGCTAGTCTAAATTTAGTAATAATCTTCCTAAATTTAGAAATGATCCTAACAAATTCCTCGTGGGTATAGTAAAGCACATGTTTTAAAAAAGAATAGAACTCTACAACAAATAATTTTTTTGAGAAAATCTCTCTATTAAATTAAAGCTAAAGACATATTCTATCAACTAATAGAGTCATTTTTTAAAAAGATAGGACAGAAAGTGACTTCTATACTTTTAAAATTTGCCCAAAATTTAGGAGCTCTTTAGACCGAGCCAACTATATGACATAAATAATATTTGTGTATGACCCATAGAGAAATCTGATTCCCAAAATATGTAGTGTGTCCATATAAATTATGCATAACCATGTTAAGAGATTTTGATAAATCCCGAAATATATGTAAAAGTAAACACGATTATATATGCACTAAAATTTTTTATTAATAGATATGTAATAATTATAATATATAAATTAATCATCTCTTGGTGAAGAGACTGTTAGACTTTGATATGGATTACGCGGTGAATGGGATACTGCCTGAACTGTTGTCTGTATGAGTAAATTCTTGTTCATAATTATAATATTTCTTAAGGTTAATAGTAATCCTACGAGAGCTTTGGTATGCTATGAAACTTCCAAGGTCAAGGGAATTTCAGCATGATCTAGATGAAAGTATCTTAATTTCCCATTTGCATCTTTTACAAGAACATTTAAATATATCTTCTCACCAGCTACTTGGATCCCGACCATGCCAAACTGATTACAAATGGGTTTACATGCAGAATAAATATAACTAATTCCATCTAACAATTCTCTCCATAATTTTACTCCATCATCTGCTTTTTTAGTGTTGCTACAAACAATGCGTGAACTCTCCGCATATAAAAATTCCAGTAATTTCCCATTGCACTATTCTAAGGCCATAATATTGGGTTTTTTCCCATTTTCTCCTTATCTGTTCCATCATTTCTACGTGCTTTACTTGCCAAGCTTTGACGTTCAGCTGAACTTAAACAGATATATCCATTTGGTATGTCCCCCAAACTGGCATGAAGTAACGGCATGATTGCATCTGTAATATAGGTTCCCTCACTTTGCATACTACAGGCCATACTTGTACCAAACGCCAGATTACACCATATATCTCTTCTAAATCTACAAATATAAATTTTTTAGTGTATTGATTTTAGATGCGGATTATTAGTTACTTACAATACACCAAGTATCCATTCTGTCATTTTTAATAGTTCAACCTCATTTTCCTTCCACGATTTATTATGAATAACATTCCTAATATAATTGGGGGTATCCATATTATTGAAGTTTTCCACAAATTCGTCAACCATAGAAAAAATTAATTTGGGTTCATTGGTATGGTGCCTACTAATACAATATCATTACATCATATATGACGTTCACCAATTCGTTTTTTTTCATTTTCATATCATAATATTTATCCCCAAGAAAAAGATGTAACACCATATTGGATTTACTGGTGTTTGATCTTCCAGATATTACAATATAGTATGGCCACTTTGGAACATCTTCATCATCTAAAGATTTCTTCAACAGTTTGACTTCATCAATATGATATATATAATAGAGATAAAATATTAGACACAATTCTGAATATATTGATATTTTTTCTTGCCAAGAGTGATTTGCGTTATAAATTATAATGCGCACATGATATTTTTTCTTAATACTAATATATATACATAAGTATAAACATGACAAACCTTACTGAAGCTCAAATTTACACCGAAAAATGTGGAGGAAAATGCCTCATTCAAACCAGTCTTACAACTTTCTTATTTTCATGTCATAAGAATCATTTATGGGAGAGGCCACTTGAAGTTATTACGAAGAGGTATGACTGATGTCCACTATGTCCTCATTTGAAAGGGGAGTGTACATCAAGGTATATATTCGAAGATTTGTTAGGAAAAGAATTTCTACCATCTTGACCTAAGTTCTTAGAAGGATTACATCTTGACTGTCTCATTCCAAAACATTTTCATCCCAATGGCCAGATTGATCTGGATAATCAAATCAAATGGAATCAAAAAAAGCGGGATCTATGCAAAAAGGAAGGTGTATGCCTCATCGAAATTCCATATGATGTAGATCTTTATAAATAATCGTGTTAAACTGTTGTTCATATTATCAAAAATTACTTTGAGAATTTTATTCCATAATGTTGAATGCTCTCCTGCTGGTAATTTAGATTCTATAGCATATTGAATTTTGTATATTATTTGCGCTAATCTTCATTTCAATGCTTTGATCAATGCTAGACTTTTGAAACTATAAAGGTTGATAACCCAGATACAGTAAAGCTTGTTAAATTCATATTTGATAAATTCATAATTGCCTAAATTCATAATTTTTTCAGGAACCAATGCCACTTATATTAAAATTCTATTTGGTAATTTCATAATCATAATAAAATCTTGATAATCAATAAAGTCATACCTCCATTACTGTTTATTATATAATAAATCTCGCTTTTTAATTTCATATCTTGTGTAACCATTAAAATATGGATTATATAACCATTAAAAATATTGATCGATTTTTTGCAAGTCACATTATTTTAAGAACTTTATTAACCATTGAAAAAAATGAATTCAAGCTTTCAAATTAGGCATAGAATTACAGATGATAATGAAGTTTCAATTGACAAAAAAATAACAAAAAACAACTTATCTTTTCTTGAAAAATGTAGAATTTGTGAAGAGCTTTTAGTTAAACCAAAACTAACACAAGAAGAATTAGCAGCTAAATATAATGTCACTCAAACAGCAATCTCTAAAATTTTTAAAAATAAGGATAAATATCTTGCTTTAGATTCAGAAACAACAGACTTAAATAAAAAAAGAAATTGTCAAGCTGCATTTCCTGAAATTGAAGAAGCAGTTGTTATTTGGTTCTCATGTGCTCGCATAAGTAACTTAACAGTAACTGATGATGTTCTTAAAAAAAAGGCATTGGACTTTAGAGATTTGCTTCAAATTAATAATTTTACAGCATCTGATGGTTGGTTGCAACAATTTAAAAATAGATTTAATGTATGATCTTTTGTGAAATCAAGAGAAGGTAGAGTGCACCACTTGATACATTAGAAGAAGAACATGTTAAACTAAAAGATATCATTAGGCAATATGATTTAAACAATGTATTTAATGCAGACGAGACAGCATTGTATTGGGAACTTGAACCATCAAAAACATTAGCAACTGGACCTGTTGTTGGTACCAAGAAATCAAAAAATTGAGTTACTATAATGCTTACATGCAATGCATCAGGTAGTGTTAAACTTAAACCATTGATTTAAAACTCCTCAACCACTTTGTGGCATTAATAAAGAAAGCTTACCAGTAAGTTATTACTGGAATCCTACTGCTTGGAAGCAAGCTTTCTATTTGGGAAGATTTTCTCTCCAAGCTGAACTTACAAATGAGAAATCAAAATCGTCATATACTTTTACTTATTGATAATGCTTCTACACACAATATAACTAATATTGGACAACTTTCAAATATTAATGTACATTATTTACCTCCAAACACACCCCACATCTTCAACCATTAGATGCCAGTATAATCAATTCATTTAAAGCTCAATACAGAAAAAGAATTGTGTTTATGCATATGATGATACAATAAACAACAATGAAAGTTTGGTAGATCCTATTAATATCTTGGTTGCAATTAATTTTTGTGGGGAAGCATGGGATGCAGTCTCACAATCAACAATAGTTAATTGTTAGAAGACTAAAATTTTGCCAGATTATGATTTAAATACAATTCATGAATATACATATATATAAGAAAGGTTTGTAGTTTTTTATGCAAAAAATTTCCTTATTTGTGTTTCTTTTGTCAAGATTGACAAGTTTTTTCATAATGAACTGAACACAGACCTTCCATCCAAACTTAGCTTAATGTTAAAATTAATTTAATTATTTGTATTCTTTATTATTATTTACTAAGTATAAAATTTAATTCTTTATCATCTCTTACAAAAAATCAATTCATTATTATTATCCATTTTTTTTTTGTTGACACAAAGAAAAAGTATTTTAATTTAATAACTTTGCACGATTTTATTGGACAACGATCACGTGAAAGTCACGAGAGTGCACTTAGAGAGAGTTTTATATAGATGGGAATGAAAAAAGATCGTGCAATGCGGGGGGAAGGGGGAGTGCACTTATCTCTAATTCCTGAGCTTGGGAATGAATGAAAGCGTTCATTTAAAGGGTGAGTGCACTTAGAGGGGTTGGCTGTAAGTTTTTTTGCTACAAATGGTCAATTAGATTTTTTGATGAATTTTTTAAATCCAAGAAAGTCATCATCATTATCAGATGCCTTCAACGTTATATTCTTTATCAATTTCTCCCCCTCAAATACATTTGATATTATTCTCCTCCTCTGTTCATCAACACTACAATAGAAACAAATTAATTTACTCATTTCTAAAATTTGTATATTTCATCTCACTTTGCGGAATGTTACATTGCTATTACTATTATTATTATTATCCGTAATTTGATTCTAATTGGAAAAAGAATGAGGTTCGATGTATAAATATTTCTAACAAGTTTGAACTTATTTCTTCACTCAAACAAATAATTGTTCACAACACAACACTATTTGAAATGTGATTTTTTTTTTATTTGTCAATTTCTAAAATAAACATTCTGGCCTTGGTATATTTCTTATTTAATATACAACTTCTTTATATTTAAATATATATTTATTTTTCTCATCTTGCTCACCTTGCTCACCTTGGTTGTTTTCCTCTTCAGAATCTTTACGATGAGAGTAAATAAAATAATTAAGAGCTCCAGTTTCAAGTATGTTGATCAGCACCTTGTTTTCCGCTCTGATCACTTCCACTTCTACTTCTATCGTTGTTTGTCCATCATTTTGCTTTTTCGTTTCCGTTTCCGTATTTTCATCTTTCCGTTTGATTTTTTGGTGAATAGCTTCTTTGATTTTTTCACAATCATGATGATGACTTAGAGAACAATCTGCCTTCGACCTGATAATTTCCTCGATTTCTTTTAGAATTGGGCCACTTTCAAAGACTCCTTGTCCAAAAAAATAATTTTTCACTTTAAAGAAAAACTTTTCGGATTTGTTATCCTCATTGTATTTATACTTAAGCGGATAAAAATATACCCAGTCATCACTAATTGTAACGTAGTAATAATTTTTTTCTTTTATTTCATTTCCTTCTTCTGTTTCTTCTTTTTTTCCTGTCTCTATGTCTGTTATTTCTCCTTTTGAAAATAATTTTTTAAATAATCCATAGATAACAAAGAGAAAATAAAAAGCGACACAGAAAAAAACCAGGATTTTGTTTTTTCCTTGTCTTTCATTGTCTTTTTTATCTTTGACCTTTTTATCTTCGACTTTTTTATCTTCGACTTTTTTATCTTCGACTTTTTTTTCATGGTATTTTTCTTCACAAACATAAAAATATCCACCCGTAGAACCGAATCGGTATCTTATATCACCTTTATCATCTTTATAATAATATACAATCTCATTAATACTTTTAACTTTGATTTCTGCATAAACTTTCTCTTTTTTACCATGTCTGTAAGTACATTCAATTACTCCACCATCAGCAAAGAATGATGCGATCGAACGGGTCAAAATGATGGTGAGAATAGTGTTAAAAACTGTGTTAAAAAAAGGTTGGGTGCAAAACCAATAATATTCAAAAAATGAATGAATTATGCAAAGGATAATGGTAAAAAAGAAAACTTTTTTACGAACAAAGCCACTATAACGTCTATTTTTACTAGTGATAAAAATTATATATTTTTCTAAATTAGGAAAATGATATGTCACGACTAAACACGATGTTGCGAGGAGATAACAAAAATTCATGAAATAGTTTAAAAATAACAAGTTGATTTGCTTAGTATATACAACAAGATTTGATCCATCATTTGAACTAAGTTGTTCGATTTGTCTAAAATATGTTGAAAAGACATACTTATATGTCAAGACACTATAAACTATGACTTCTACTGAATGTAAAAAATACCCCCAAATAAACATGGCTTTAAAAGCACTGAAGAACTCTTTGTTGGTAAGTTGTAAATCATCTGGAAGCATTTTAAACCATATTGAAACATTGTCGAGTTCATTCCGACGTTGATGAAAATGAAATCTGATAATCGCCCAAAAAGTCAGAATAATTACCATGCTTCCAAACATAACACCGATAGCTATTGAATTGATAAGACCTTTGTCGTAATTTAGATCCCCTTGGATTTCATGTACCACTCCATAAAACCATATTGGTTTGGCAAAAGTGTACCACCAAAAAATCGGTCCCAAAGAAGTTACAAGGATAACTACGTCATCAATCAAGCAGGTTGTCATAATTCCAAATATAGATTTCGCACCATAAACAACTATACTAAAAAGAAGACCTGCCATAGGGATGAATGTCCCTACTTGAGAAAAAAAGTCGGTGTATTTTTCTAAACTGCTAGTAGAACCACTACTACCAGGACATATAAAATCTACTCCATCATCAGTAACATCGACTTGTGGTAATTGTATTATGCCATTAAGAAAATTAGTCACTGTTGAAGTAAGATTTTTTTCTGCATTTGCTGTGGAGATAAAACCAAAAACGAGGTAGAAAATAAAAAGTTTAATTTTAACGTTGTTTGGGTTGATTATAAAAAACATCTTTGAAGTAACCTATTAATGAATAAATTATTCAAGTAGTAAATGAAAATGGTTTGATGGAGGGGAATTTGGAATTGAATTTATATGATTTTTGGCTGCTAAATATCCAATTGAATGAATATTATTACAATGCATGGAAAATATTACTTTCGATTATGATGGCTAAATTTGTGTTTCGCATTATATATTAGTATTACTAGAAAATAAATTAGGTTTTATTCAATAAAAATCCATGTGTAGTAAGCCCTAATGTGCATGCTACGTATAAGTAAATTTAAAAAAGAATCATAACAATCTTTTGGAGAATGAATCCGCATACAGTAATAACAATGAGAATAGTGGAGATTCGTGACAAAATCGATTGTCGATCTTTTTATGTTGTGAATTATTATTATTATTATTATTATTATTAAAACCGATTTTATGGAAATCTATTTTTTTTTTTCATATTGATATATCGCTTTAACTTTTCTTTATATCTTTGATCAAATTGATCAAATTGATTTCAATAGGTTACTTTAGAAGTAAAAGTTTAAAGCTCTGTGACCTTATACGTGTCATTATTATTTATTTTTTTAAATATGAATGATAACATTTTACCTTATTAATAAGTCATTATTATACTTGCAGGTATTTATTTTTATTAGTTTATAACTTATATTCAACTTTTTTCAATAGTACAAAGATCATATATGTAGTAAGTATTTTTTTACAATGTATTTAAAAAACAAGAAGAATTTTTGAATGACTATCAATAATGAATATCTCTTAAACGGTCGAAGTATTCTTTAATGGTAACACAGAATGATTTTTTTGATCACGACCTTGGCTAATTTAACGATCTGCAAAGTAAAAATAGTCAATCGACCAACTTTTAAGAAATATTGTACAAAAACCATAAGGACAACAACCGAATTTTTATTCACAGATCAATCAGCCGAATCTCAAAGATCATTTTCGTATTAGGAAGTGATACCTTCAGAAAAAGTTTTTATAACAGAAAAAAAATTTCGGCTATCAATAGCCGAAAAATAAGGAGTGATGCATGCAATATTTATATTTATATTTATATTTATATTTATATTTATATTCTTTTTTTTTTTAACTTATAAGAAAACGACAGATACATATTATATAGATAAAACATTGATTTGATGAAGTCAATGAAGAGTAAATAATGTATTAGACTGTATAACAAAAAACCAAGTCTATGATCCAGATAAATAAATATTATAATAATATTTTTATTTAGAATTTTCTTGCATCAACTTGAAATTCATTTGATTTCATTCCGAACTAAATCTCCTTTCCATTGTTTCCAAACTGCGTAATGATCTTTAAGCCAATAAAATTTAATTATTGCGTGATATAATAATAAGAATCTTTTGGAAGAAAAATCATTCTGCATAAAATAATAATTTATTTAAATAATTTGTTCGACCAATAAAGGTTTTGCAAATAAAATAAAATTAAATATATAATAATAAGAAGAATTCGACTGCTCCTTAATATTAACATAAAACTAGTCTAATTTTAGAAATTATCTGCCAGATTT